AACAAAAAGTGGAGTTCCTGCTTAAAACTGATTCTTTCCGCCTCTTCTATCTTCACTACATAAGATCCACCGTCCTCGAATATATCAATATACAAGCAGCACCTGTCTGTTTCTTTCTCGCTGTCAGATAAAGATCCTATGATAGTTTTTAGAGACTTCAACATTCCAGTTACAGTTTGGTTTTCATTAAACCAGTATAAAAACGTTTTCTCATGTCGCGACATGACTTTATTGACGGCTTGGTTGACCAGTCCCTATTTCAAGTTAACCATGTTAAAAATTCCTTGGGTCGTCGGATCCGGCCATAGTGTTGTTAATCCGGTCCCTTCTGATCAATATACGTGAAGACGCCTACCATCCTACGTTCGAAGTGTCGCTTGATATAAGACCACCTGTATTCGATCGGTCGGGTAGGCTATCTGAATGTTTCCGCTGTTTTCGTAAATTTTGCGAAACTTAATAACTTTCTTAGGGTTTTTGATTGCTCTGCTCTTTAATTTTGCACTGACGTTATGAATGGCACAAACGTTTTCTACAATTTACTTAACACATTTTTATACCCGATACTCAAAATGAGTATAGGGGTATATTAGATTTGTGGATCTATATCAGCTTCTCTGCCTGTCCGTCCCTATGAGCGCCTAGTGCTCAAACCCGCTTCCACCCCCACAAAGGACGAAAGTCTGTGGCATCCATAGATCTCAGACACTATTAAAACTAGAGCAACAAATTTGGTATCCACACTCCTGTTAGACCTCACGGTTATGTTTAATGGTTAGGGTTCAACTATGGACAGTTAAACTGTGTAAAAATAGGAATGTACAAATCATAAAATTATCTGCTACTGGAAAGTACGGTAACACAATACATGGCCGAAAGAAGTTAACTTAAATTATTCATTAAAGAAGATTTTACTTTGGAAGCGCAAGTATCAAAGGAAAAAAAAATGAAAAAAATTTATTGTAATCGCGGCAAAGGCTACGGAAAGATTCATGGTCAGAGTAGTTTGATAGAATATATAAGTTTATTTCAAAAATTTTTTTTAAATTATTAAAGTAATAAATTTGAAACGTGCAAAAGTGGATACATGGACTGAAAAATGAAAAAATTGAAATCTCTTAAGGAAAAGATCTCTTTGAATTGAAATTATTGTGTTTTTTTCTTTCTCACTAAATTAAAGAATCTATAAAAATAAAATCAAAAGGATTGATTAATTTTTAAAGATTTTACAGGCGTGTAAACTGAAAAGTGATAAACATGTATCCACATGTGCTCGCCACTATAGATCTAGATCTAGATATCTCACAGAGCATGTGGTACTGTATTCTGATATGTGACTTCAAGAAATTGAAGCTGGTAGACTTAAAATGGAGCAGGAACATTAAAGACCTCAATCTTTATGTGGAGCAACAGTCCACACTCACAAAATTTGAGAAGCAAGGACGACCAATGTGCTTAACTTCATTGAAATCCAAATCAAATAGAAATTTTCTATCCTACTGGCCGGTACAAAAAATATCAATGTATGGTCTATTTGGAGGCCGTATGTCCTTGTAATAATAATAATAAAGTCTGTATGGCCTTTTAATAATAATAATAAAAATAATAGTAATAATAATAATAATAATAGACTGTAATCAATTCATGTTCATGCCTATAAATATATATGAGAACTGTATGGGATAAATTATCTTAATATTGTAACCAATGGATATAAAGTAGGCTGACTATTGTTGTCATGCCGGGTTATACTAGAAATATCCAGTCTTTGCTTGGAGTTGTTTGAAACAACACGTAAGATCCCCAGAAAAAAAGTCTCTCTGTATAATAAAAACTCTCTCCGTTCTCATATTCTCAACTCGGAAAATACGAACTGTATAAACCAGGGACCGTAAATAATCATTATTTATTTTTTTTTTTAATATAAAAAATCTCTTATTTTTAATGGACCTAGAAAAACACTAGTTACACCAAAATCTCTATTTTTGTACAATCTCTGCATTGCCGCCATGATTTGTAAACTTTTGATTTTTTACGATTTTCTTCACAGATAATCATAATTTTTGAGTAATTTGAAAAAAACTTAGAATTAATCATTATTCTTGAGCAAAAAAAATAAAACTAAAAAATAATGATTATCAATAATGATTTTTATTTTTTTGCGGTTAAAATAAAACTCAACAGGAATTTACGGATTCTGTGTTAGAATGTTCGCCAATATTATTGCATATCCTTGTCAAAGGACCACAAAGCTACACCCTGCGCTAAAATTTTCTTTTTGAAAATACATTTAAAAAATAATAAATTAATATATTATAATAAATCTTATATTTTATATTTCGCTCATAATAAATCTCAGCATTTATTTGGGTTATTTATGTAAATATATACATATATTCTTATTTATTGAAACTACGTTACTACTGCTTTGATGTATCAATAAAAAATAAAAGATAAGGAAAGCTAGCTGCTCATAGTCGTACCTGAGGACGAAAGAAGACTTACGAAAACTTACTTGCGCTTGACTACGCTCATTCAAATTATTTATCTATTTTTAGAATTTCTTATCTAAAGCCGCGAGTGTTAATGCATTGATACTTAGTTTTTGGTGATTATTCTTAGTCGCGTTTCAAGATGGGTCGCAAGTGTAATTGTATTCCGCGTAATTTTTTTACATTCCACGCGGAAAGTAATGTTTCTGAGTGTAAAATTTGCAAATTGACTTTGAGTGGAAATTTTGTGTGCAATCTAAAGCGGCACTTAGAAAAGATGCACAAAGGCGAATATGAAACCTAGGCCGAAAACAAAAAAACCGAAGTGCCTGAAAAGAAAAAGAAGTTTTCGGCGGTAATGGGGCAAGATGATGTCAAGAATGCCTGTATTGACCTGGTGACTGCCGCAAAAGTTCCGTTTGCTGTACTAGACTCAAAAGGATTTAAGGCGTTAGTAGCTCACATATTTAGCGGCTTGGATATGCCCACTGTAACTTCAAGAAATATAATGAGCTTAGTCGAGGAAAAGTACAGCCAAATTAAATGCGACATGGTCAAAACATTCAAAAACAGAATCCTCTGTCTAAAAATGGCCACAAGATGCAATCGCGTAATTCTTGGTGTTAATGTCCAGTTCATCGATCACTGTGCAATATGTGTACAAACTTTAGGCCTGATAGAGCTCAAAACATCGCACACATCCCAAAACCTCTGTACTGAAATACAGTACATATTGCATGATTTTAGCATAGCGAAGCAACAAATTTATATCATCGCCACAGATAATGGTCGAAACATGATCAAGAGCTACTAAATGTTTGCGAAGATGAAGATGATGACGAACAAGAAGGTGCTGAGGATTTGGATGAAGAAGAGCTGCTCAAGAATTCTAAAATTCATTCCATTAAGTCGATGAAATGTGCAGCATACACCCTTCAACTTGCTGTAAAGGATTTTTTACAACGCCTTGAATCGGTTGAGCCTATTGACAAAGCACGACGAATTGTTAAGCTTTTAAGAACGCCGGCGTACAGGTAACTTTCTTGGCCTATTATTAACATATAAGCTCAGAGAAAAACCAAAAAATGTTTTTATAGAATGTCGTTTTTCTTTGTAATGTAGGTATTTAATAACTGAAGAGTCATTGCCCCAACCAGTGCTAGATGTTGCGACTCGTTGGAATTCAACATACAATATGCTGAGCAAGCTGCAACAATTCGAAGATTTTTGCGAAAGGCGCCTAAAACGCTCATTAAAATTAACTGCAGCTGAGTGGAGTGACTTGAAAAGGCTTGTTAATGCCCTGGAACCGGCATACCTTGCAACAGTAAAATTACAAAGCACTCAATTATTCATGAGTGAGTTCTACATGCTATGGCTGGAGCTCAAGCTCACTGTGGCAGCAGCAAGTACCAGTGAAAGCCAAGCTTTGAGCCAGTGCATCCGTGACAGGGAGGAGAGCCTTTTGGGGTGCGATGCAATCGTTTGCAGTATCTATTTGGATCCACGGATAAGACGAGTATTGCTGCAGAACCCAATAAGCCTGATGCTCGCCAGAGCTCATTTAAAGCAGCTTTTCATGCAGCTATTTAATTTGAAAGAACCCGTAAGTATTTATATAATTTATATACATATAACATAACATATTAAAAATTAATATTTCAGACAAGTGCAATAGCACAGCCTTGCTCAAGCAGCTCAAGCGCGATAACTTCGTTCGGTACATCGCAAAACTCAAACACCTGCTCGCTATTGAACGAGTTTTTGCAAACTATTGAGGTAGCTTCAGAAGACGAAACTGAGGATGGAGAGCGAGCAGACCTCATCAAGAAAGGATATGCCGAAATTGCCGTCTATACCCCAAAGCCAATTTGCTTGACCTCCAATATTATGGAGTATTGGGAGGAGCATCGATACCGTTTCCCAAACTTATACGAGCTGGCCAAAGTGGCACTCAGTTCCTGCGACTCAAGTTAGTGTTGAGAGATCATTTTCGGCACTCAAAATGATGCTCACTGATCAGAGATGCAACCTCGCGTACGAATCATTGTGGAAATTACTTTTTGTAACATTAAATAATACTTATTAATTAAACGTATTTCCGACAACAAAACCAAAAATAACAAAAAATTTTAATGTAATTTCAAAAAGAAAATTTTAGCGCAGGGTGTAGCTTTGTGGTCCGTTGACAAGGATATGCAATAATATTGGCGAACATTTTAACACAGAAGCCGTAAATTCCTGTTGAGTTTTATTTTAAGAGAAAAAAATAAAAATCATTGATGATTATTATTTTTGAGCTTTATTTTTTTTTATCAATATCTGTGAAGAAAATCGTAAAAATTGAAATATGTTCATTACCAAGTAATTTTTATTATATAACTTATAATGATTACGGTCCCTGGTATAAACGTAACAATATACAACTATGGAATCTGAAACGTTCTCTTCTGCCTGCGACATATGTATGTACATCAAGAAACATCAGTCAAGCATCGTTGCAATCATTTTCGACAATTTGAATTATGTAAAGTTATTCGAGATACATACCTTAAGAAATTTTTCGTTTTCCTGCGTCAAACTTCGAAGCTTTTTGTTTGGGAATGTGGAAACTAAGGTATAATAAAAAAATATGTTTAAAAACTCATTATGATTTAAATCATTTTATTTTTACCTTTAAGCTGAAGCTGTTTAAATATGTACGAAACGATACTATCTAAAATTGTGCAGCAGCTTATGTAAATGGCGGAATCTGAAATTTCAATATTAAAAATTTTAAATATTGCTAGGATGCATTTTTATTTTTAGTGCGCACCTAACGCTGCAAGGCCCTTGGTAAGGCTTTCCAATATGTATACAAATGCACATGGCTCCAAAGCGGCTAGGTACGTAACATGGTCTTGAGATAGGCAATTTAATAAATTGTAATATGCAGACGACAGTTTTGGATATTCCTATAAGTGGAATAAAAGAAACCAATATAAGAACTAATTTACTTCATTGTTTCGTATGTAAGTTAACTTACAAGTAAATCATTTTGTTGTATAGAGAGTATTAACTTAGCAACAATATTAAGAACGCTGTCCAGTGTATCATCTCCATACAATTTGAATACACCACAGTTAACATAGTTTCCACCAAGTGAATTTTTTAAAATTAAAAAACATATTGCTATTCCTTTTAGTTTCATTGGGTAAAGTCGATCACGTGGAACCTCCAATTGTAAAATACGGTTTCCGTAAATACAAATAAGTTTTGAAGCCTCTCGGAACAGCAGTATACCCATAGGACTGGATACATTTCCAGCCAATCGTTGTGTTCGACAATGTACCAGCTCAGCGAAAAGTTTTAAAACGGGTGTGGTAACTGCGGGATCATGAGCCCATAAATCCACTGCACGTAACAATATGGGCAAATAGTCTGTATAGTAACTGTAATCAATAATATTAGTCAATTGCAATACTAATAAATAATATGCATACGAACAGCCATTCAAAAAGCATAGTATATTGAATACGAGCATTTAGGGGCAGGGCTAATCCTCGAAGGTCCCGTGCTAACCCAATAACTGCTTTCTTCGCTTCGTCATTAGGAAAGCTATTGGCATCCATCAGCACAGTTCCAAGGTTTTCAAATTGATCTATATAAAAACAGAGTGGGAAAGATTTGAATGTGTGATAATTAAATTTGCAGATTTAAACTGACTTGTCAAAGGCGTCAAAAAATTATAGAATCGTTCTTCATCTTCTCCCAAATCAAACATTAACAAACGGCCTAGAGATGTGTAAAACATAGTGCGACATCGCATTTCACTTAGGGAAGAGTTTGTTCCTAGGAAAGGGAAATGTTCGCTTGTATGGTGTGTCAGCATAAATTGCACTTCGTCTAAGCGTGCAAGCTTACGCACTGAATTAAAGTGCACAGAAAGATCCGAAAGTAACATCAGAGTTTTAGTAATAATCTGTTCAGAGCGCCCCCAAAACTTTAAATTGGTTATACTGAAAATTACAGAAATGTTTAGCGCATGAGAAACAAGTAATTAATATACATACATTTTACGATTTATGAAGCTTAATAGCATTTGCTCATCGCTAAGTCCAAAGACTTCAGTCAGTCTTTTATATACATTCGCTTTTTGAGCTTGCTCGCTGCTATGCATTTTGCGAACTTGATCCAAAAAGCTTAGCATGGCCAGCTCAAGCTTTTCGCATCCAGCCTGAGGCAAACGTGCATCTGTCAAACTCATTAGTTGAAGCACCCTTATGACAAGTTCTCCATCCATAGTATCGTGCTCGTCGCTAGTCGTAACAGAAAGGCGCCCAACAATGGCCGACCCGATAATGTACACCAACCAAGTTAGCTGTAGCTCATGCACAGTGATATCTATAGGATTAGCGTTGGGCGTCTGTACAAGGTTTTCATACTCACGTGCCTTTTGATCAAAATGCTGCACAAGAAGACTGCAAGTCTTATTATACTCGCACCGCTCAATAACTGATAGTTGCTCAAGTTGTTGCTGGACCATACACAGATCATCCAGTGGATCCTCTAAATTATCCCTTACAATTAAAGGAACAGCATCTAGGCGCGACTCGATATAAGCTTTAATCACTTCTGGTGTATATGTACCAAGTAAATGTGGATCCGGGGATTTTACATATGGTACAGATGCTACCATACGTTGCCAAAGAGTAAGTAAGTAGTGCACACTGTTTGGTGCAAAAAGCCACAACTACAGAAAGGAAATATATCTGATGTATTCTTAAAACAAACATAACTTTGAAACACCTACATGCAATGATTGCACAGTAAATTTCGCTATCAATTGGATAGCTTCTGGATAACAAGGAACAGCAATAAGCTCGCCTAATTGATAATTTGATTTCAGGCGAGCTAGCAAGCGGCAGAATTCGTGATAGTTATCTGGATCACTTAAACCCTGAAAATAAAACCATATACATTTAAAAGAAATATGCGACGTTATGATATAAGGTACTACATTGGTATATATGTAAGCCTGTTATTGTTATAACATATACATATATTTATATATATATCAATATATAACTTATATTTATATATTTCCGTGCACTCCGTCTCATTGTAACATTATACTAAATCTACTCGAAGCGTTGTGAAGTGGTGATTATGGTTGGAGAAGCAGGCCACGCATCTCTATCAATTATTCTTGAAGTCTTCATAAGAAAAGACACAACGAAGACGGGAAAAATATAAAGAGAGCTATCTCAAGAGCTAGTTATGTTCTATTGTTTAATATTGCAATCCGTATACCTAATTACTTGCCGCTTTCGCTATATTCATTACTTGCTCCTATATTCCATCCATATTCCAGATAAAGATAATGTGGCAGTTCTTGATTTCTTTAACTTGCCGGGAACTGTTTGGTGTTCGGTACAAGAGTCTAATCGGCTAGTGCCCATGTCACGACGTGACCTTGTGACGGCTTGCTTGACCTGTCCCTGTCTCAAGTCAACCATGTGAAAAATTCCTTGGGTGGATTGCTTGAACACACACTTTTGTAGGTTCGATATCACAGGAGTGTGGATACCAAATTAATCCAGGCGCTCACTTTTGCGATAGGAAAAGCCGACCAACAGACGTGTGTGTTAGAGAGAGCCAGAGCGAGAAAGAATGAAATTGTTTTGTTCATTCTGGCTATAAAATTGATACGATCTGGTTCATATTCTGCCCTCTAGAAGCAATAATCATTTTCTACGATGGATGCCACAGGTTTTCGTCTTTTGTGGGGCGGAAAGGGGCACGCCGAAGTTCTGAAGTACACTTGTAACAGTGACATATCACAGAAGTCTGGATACAACATTTCGTTGCTCTAGGTCTTATAGTCTCTGAGCACTAGGCGCTCATAGGGACGGACAGACAGACAAGCAAACATGGCTCTATCGACTTGGCTATTGATGCTGATATAGATCCACAAATCTAATATACCCCTATACTCATTTTGAGTATCGGGTATAAAAATGTGTTAAGTAAATTGTAGAAAACGTTTGTGCCATTCATAACGTCAGTGCAAAATTAAAGAGCAGAGCAATCAAAAACCCTAAGAAAGTTATTAAGTTTCGCAAAATTTACGAAAACAGCGGAAACATTCAGATAGCCTACCCGACCGATCGAATACAGGTGGTCTTATATCAAGCGACACTTCAAAAGTAGGATGGCAGGCGTCTTCACGTATATTGATCAGACGGGACCGGAATAACAACACTATGGCCGGATCCGACGACCCAAGGAATTTTTAACATGGTTAACTTGAAATAGGGACTGGTCAACCAAGCCGTCAATAAAGTCATGTCGCGACATGAGAAAACGTTTTTATACTGGTTTAATGAAAACCAAACTGTAACTGGAATGTTGAAGTCTCTAAAAACTATCATAGGATCTTTATCTGACAGCGAGAAAGAAACAGACAGGTGCTGCTTGTATATTGATATATTCGAGGACGGTGGATCTTATGTAGTGAAGATAGAAGAGGCGGAAAGAATCAGTTTTAAGCAGGAACTCCACTTTTTGTTGAATCTGGACAGTGAAACGTTCAGACGTGAAATTTGAGTCCACTGCAATTCTAAGCGTTCTGTTCCGGCCTGTCAATACTTCGGAACTAAAGATCCGGCTTTAACCAGGTCAAGGTGAACACAGTAACCTGCGATGAAAATGTAAAACTCTCCAGGGAGAGAGTGCTGAGATTACTGCATAGGCCTCTAATATTTTGCTTTGTATAAAATCAGTTAAATCATGATGTCTTGGGGTCTGAACTTGAGACAAACTTGAGCGGCAAGCGCATTGGTGTGACCCCCACCAGTGGTTTTGGAAGCATAAGCCTGGTATCTGGCTTGATGTTCCATTTCGAAGTCCTGTAAATGCAGCTGTCCTGCACTGCGCCACTTCCCTTGGTATGTCCAGCTTACTCGTCGTCTGCTTAAACGCAATGCAGTCTGTGACCAGCTTAAACCTTATTCCCAGCAGATAATATCTAAACTTTTTTAAGTGCAAGATATTTCAACTCGAGTACGTAACTACGTTGCTTAGATTCATTGCTTAGAATTAAACCGGGTGAAGCTTTCCCTCAAACATCTGCAACAGAACTGCTCTGTAGCCATCTTTGGATGCGTCAGTGTGTAGCTCGGTTGAGGCAATTCTTATGTAGATTCGCAAAATAGGAACGGTTACCAGAAAGGATGTCAACTCCAGGATCGACCGTTCTTCCTCTGTTCCGTTCTTCTTCTTAAAATCGACGTCTTTTTTAAAGAAATTTGTAAAAACGATCTTTAAACACCATGCTTTTTAGTTTCCGATAGTCAACGCAGACTCTCAACGTTTGATCTTTCTTTCTGACTATTACAATTCTGGCCGCTACGTGAGAAGTAGATTTTCGCACAATACCCTGATCGAGCCACTCAGACAAACGGCTTGACGACTGGCAAAAAGGTTTTATTCCCCCATCTGGAATCATCTTAGGCTAAATTGGACATATTATAGCACCTTCGATTGACTTGTGACTGCTTTCCAATAGCTACTCGATGTTCTTTTGATATTGGGTTGGAGCCACAAATTACCGAAGTTTCGAACACATTGTAAACCATGTTGTACTCATCTTCCGACATTTTCTGATGTTCCAGGCCTAGAAAAGAGATCGCATCGGCCATAAGCGAGAACTTCTTTATAAATTCCTAGTCCAATAGTCTATCATATTCCACTGCATTGCTTGGAACCACCAGGAGATTGTGTTCGGTTCGCAACTGATCTACTTCTATGTCGGCATGAAAAAATCCAATCGGCTTCGTGTTCTGGTTTCCTAGGCCCCGCAAATTTGTTGCACAGCATTTCCACATCGTTCAAATTTTCAAACACACCTTCTTTAACCAAGGTTACACGGGATCGTCAACTAGGCACTGAACTTCGATACCATTTACAAGGACTGTCCTAAACAACCCATGATTATATTCACTCTTCCAGCGTTCTTTGGACAATTACGGGAGATATGTCCACTCTCGATGCAACTAAAACATTTCGCATCAGCTGTACACGAAATTCTTGTATCCGCAATCCGGCGAACAGCAATTAACCGCAAAAAGAGTCGTTCTCTTTCGTAGTGATCAGACGCGTTTTTGTTTTGCGCTTCGCATTTTTTCCTTTTGTTTTGAATAAACAGCCGGTGTTTTCCTAAATAAATTCTATTTAACTTCCTAACCAGACAACAATCTGGAAACCTATACTATTCCGCGAGTGCATGCCTTTTGATTTGTGTTAAAACATTATTTAACTTTTCATTTTTCGGCGTCGGCTTGTGCTTGTGTTTGTGTTGTTGCAGTGAGTGAGTACGCATTACATTGCATTGCAGTCCGCTCTCGTCTGGTAGCTTTTGTTGTTTTATCACTCTCTCGCTATCACCTCAACTTCAATAACTGTTCTTTCTCTCTCGCTCTTTAAACTTTCTGAGCAATAGCACTCTCTGCTTAGTAGCTCACGCTATAACCGATCTCCTCCCTCTCTTTTTTACTAATTCCGCTTTGAGCAATTGTCTGGCACATTGGTCTGATATCAATTTTTGTTTGAAATTGGTATTGAAAATGTTTAAATAGATATGTTAAATATTTAAAATGGAATTCGCTGTGGTCTGCGCCAATGAAACTTGCGAGAAGCCGAATACCCACGATCATCCGAATGTCACCTGCTGGCTCTGCGACAGCGTAGTGCACGCAAAATGCGCTGGATTTTCTGGCCTCGTGAGTGATGCTATAGCCAAACGTAATGGGTTGCATTTCAGTTGCAAGGCATGCCGGGCGATGGAAAATGATATGGTGGTTTTTATGAGGCAGCCGTGGAAGGGCTTTAAGGAGCTGACCGTTGGCTTTAAAAAGCAATACGATCGGCTCCTAGCCATGGAGTCTCAATTTGGCAGTCTGCAACTGCTGAATGAGTCTCCGAGGCGTAAAAAGGTCACTCCGCGGGATCTGCAAGTGCCAACCGTCACTCAGCCGTGCGCCGCCTCTCTTGATCTCGTTTGCCACTCCAAGGGCAACGACAGCTTCTGGCGATGCAGATTCGGTAGCCGAATTCATCGCCTCGGAGAATGTGCAGCCAAGTACGTCTGCAGCGTTCGTGTCCGTGGTGTCCGCAAGTTCGCTAGTTGTCCCGTCTGTCCCGATCCCACCAGTAAATAGACGTTCCGGACCTCCGGATATTGCCACCACAGGTACTAGGCCTGGGGTGATTAAACCACTGGTGGGGAACGAAACCAAAACGACAAGTTTTTGTTTCACGGCTGGCCCCTGACCTCACATCTAATGATGTAATTGCTTTTATTCAAAGCAAAATAAAAGCCGTGGGATTAAAGGTGGAGAAATTCAACTTCTCTTATGCCAGGGAGATAGCCCTTCCACTTTTCCAAAAAACTAACTTCTCTTTTAGTAACGTATCAGAATGTTAGAGGCTTGCGTAGTAAGCTCAGCATTCTTTTCCGGGATAGTGTTGCATTTGCTTCCCACGTTATTGTGTTTACTGAAACCTGGTTAAAGCCGGACATTCTTAGTTCCGAGGTTTTGGCAGGTCGGTACACAACTTTTAGAAAGGACCGTTCGTCTCGACGTGCAGGAGGGGTTCTGATTTCAGTGGACTCTAACTCCACGTCGGAACACTTCACATGCCAGGTTCAACCGGAACTGGAATTCCTGTGTGTATAACTGATTCTTCCCGCTTTCGCTATATTCATTACTTGCCCGTATATTCCACCTTTTTCGGATATCTCTATTTATGAGCAGCATTTGTCCGCTCTAACTGCTGTTTCTTCCTCGCTTCAACTTGCCAGCAACTGTTTGGTCTTCGGTAAACGAGTCCAGTAACCTAGTGCCCATGTCACGAAATGACTTTGTTGACGGCTTGCTTGACCCTGTCTCAAGTCAACCATGTGATTGCTTGATCTGTGCTTTGTATCGGATCCAACCATAGTGTTGTTAAACCGAGCCCTTCCGCTCACTATACCTGAAGACGCCTACAATCCTACTTGCGAAGTGTCGCTAGATATAAGACCAACTGTATTGGATCGGTCGAGTAGGCCACCTGAACGTGTCCGTTGCTTTCGTAAAGCCAAATTTTAGAAGCTTAATAATCTATTTAGGGATTTTGATTGGTCCGCTTTGTACTTGTGCACTGATGTCATAAAAGGCACAAACATATTTTACAATGCTCTTGGCACATTTTTTGATTCTTGTGTCCCGTTTTCTTATCCGATTAGATCTGGAAAACCCCCTTGGTTTACCAATGAGTTATCCAGCCTAAAAAACTTAAAATCAAGACTTTATAAAAAATTTCAGGAAGTTAGTTCTCCTACTTCTCACTCTCGCTATGTAACTGCTCGATCAAACTTTTCAGTTCTTAATGCACAATGCTATAAGAACTACCTATCTCGATGCAGGATACGTTTTTCTCAGAACCTTAAACAGTTTTACTGCTTCGTAAACAGTAAGCGTAGAATGTCCGCACACCCATCCTCACTATCATTTTGTAATACTTCGGCAAATAATGATCAGGCAATTGCCGATCATTTTGCCCAATTTTTCCAAACCACCTATTCTGAGGAAAGCTACTGTGGTCATCCGTACCCATACGGTTTACCGAGGTCGAACGGCATTTTCAGTCTCTTGTTAAATTAAGTTTCTTTACTTCATGATCTTCTACTAATTAGGACGGTGTTTTCACCGGGTCCAGACGGGGTTCCATGCTGTATACTCAGGTGCTGTGCAGACTGTATGGACCCTTGCTTAAAGTATTCACTCTGTCCATTGATTCTTCATGCTTCCCCACGATCTGGAAGGAATCGTTTATAATTCCTGTCCATACGAAAGGTAGCAAGTCTGAAGAGAAAAATTATATAGGTCTAGCAAAGTTATCCGCTATTCCCAAAATGTTTGAGAAGGTATTAACTCCGCACTTACAACATCTCTGCAAATCACTTATATCTCCAACTCAGCACGGATTTATTTTTTGTTGGCTCCCTATACCCTATTTGGTGGTTCTCTTGACAGAATTACCCTGGTGGATGATCTGGGTGTTATGTTAGACCCAAAGATAAAGTTTTCCGAACACACTTCTAACATGGTAAATAGGCCATGGGCGTGCTTGGGTTTATAAAGAGGTGGTCAGAGGAATTTAACGACCCCTATATAACAAAGACTCTCTATACCTCGCTTGTTCGTCGGATCTTAGAATACGGCTCCTGTGTATGGTGCCCTCAGTACAAAGTACACCAGGACCGTATAGAATCAGCACAGAAAAACTTTTTACTCTTTGCTCTGCGGGGCCTTAACTGGGATGCGGGTGTGAGACTCCCAACTTACACTAGTAGACTGCTATTAGTAGACCTCCCATCCTTAGTTAACCGTAGAAAAATGCTTGGTGTGATTTTTGTGCTTGATCAACTTGATCAGGGGTGACATAGACAGCCCTGATCTGTTGGGCCGCATAACTTCACGATTCCTATTAGACCTACTAGAAATTTTATACCGTTGTTCCTTCCATTTTGTAGATCGAATTATTCCTTGCATGAACCGTTTAGGATCTTCTTACGCTCGGATTATAATTCCCTCTACCATATCATATCCACCACTAATTCTCTTCCTCTTATTAAATTACTAATCCTTACACACCTATCTAGTAATTAGTAATTAATAATTGTAGTGGTATTTTTATGTTTATTTTGAATGCATGTCTAGTTCTCTTAGAAACTTTCGTGCTAATCTGCTGGTGTCACACGGGCCACTTGACGGTGCAGTAATTGCATCGCCTCTTAAAAGATGCAGTCAACGTCCATTAAATATTGTTATGATATAGCTAATTCCAAGATTTATCTTTTAGATGAAGAAAATATAGTTCGAATGGAGGTAGAAAATGGTTCCTTCTGGCCAAACATCCGGCCAATTTTCTTATACCATGAAATTGTATACAAAATGCAGATACATTACTTACGTGCAAGTTAGTCAGAATATTTCTTACACCTTCAACCAGATGTGTGAGAAATTTCGTTCTTTCAGTGTTACTGAAAAGAGATCGACGCACAGATGTCATTTGCACTAAACAAGATATGGAGTAGCTAGCTAAACCATTTGGAAGAATCTGGTATAAATCAAAAAAAAGTTTCAGTGTGTTTAAGTCCAGGAACGCAGGCCGCCAGGCTGTTGGAATCTATTTACAAAACAACATTATTTCGAATACTCACTCTTTAAATCCATTTATAACATACCTGAACATTGTTCATATCATCGGCAGATTCATCTGTTGAACTTCCAATAAAATCAAAGCTCAAACAATTTTTCGTCAGTCGCAGCACATGAGATATCAACCTTAATATGCATAAAGTAACCAAAAGTTAGCAGACCGAATTCAATTTTATTAATAATACAATGGGACTAGCTATATGGTCCGAAGTTAATAGCCTTGCAGATCCATTGTTCCTATTCTAACTCATAATGTACTAAATTGTGTAAAGACAGCTTTTTCCCGCCACATTTAATTCAAAATGTAAGTGCAAAAAATTAAGTTTTTGACCATTAGCAATTTAACCGCATAAACTTCACGATTCCCATTAGACTTACTAGAAACTATATACCGTTGTTCCTTCCACTTTGTATATCGAATCATTCCATGCATGAACCGTTTAGGGTCTTATGCTCGGATTATAATTCCCTCTACCATATTATATCCACCACTCTTCCTCTTATTAAGTCACTAATCCTCACACACCTTTCTAGTAATTTTTAATTGTAGTGGAATTTGTATTTGTAGTTTGAATGCATGCTTAGTTGCGTAGTAAGTGTTGAGCTAATTTTCCTCGAATATTAGCCTTACAACTATCTTTCCTGCATGTTCGCGTTCGGTTCGGCTACTCGCCACACGTCATGCGCCAGCGCCAACGCCAACGCACATTCACTGTCAGTGGGGAATCACTGACACTAACGATAGGGGTGAGTACCTTTTCAATTATTTACTGACCACCCAGGTGGTCCTATTAAATCGGCGAAGTGATCCAACCTTCATTATTAAAAACAGCAAGGAGGTCCTAGACCTAACACTTGCCTTTCATGAGATACATGGGTACATCGTATCCTGGAGCGTCCTGAAAGGGCATTCCTTCTCGGACAACAGGTACGTGGAAACCGTATTCTCTTTTTCACCACCGAGACCAGCTCAATTCCGGAACCTCAGGCGGACAAACTGGACTCGGTACTCAGACCACCTTTGTCGTGTTCTCCCTGAGACTCCACCTGAGGAGGAGTTTTCCAGGGAGGCCACGACTCATCTCGTTAAAACATTTACCGACACCTGCAATGAGGCGCTCGATATATCCTGCCCATCTGGCAAGAGCAGAGGCCGGAAGAAAACTGAATGGTGGACTCCTAAACTGTGGGAGCTCCGGAAAGCCTCCCGGAGACTCTTTAACACACTCTTTAACGAATACAAGGTCAGTCTGTCAACTTATAATAAAGAACTTAGGAAAGCCAAACGCGCCTCATGGCGTAAGTTCTGTAGCGAAATCGAGAATAACTCAGAAGCCTCGCGCTTGCGGCAAGTTCTCTCGAAGACTACACCCACTCTGGGCTACCTGAAGAATGCCGACCAATCGTGGACAACGTCCAGCAATGAGCCGCTACATCTTCTCCTCAACACCCACTTCCCCGGCTGCGATGAAAACAGACCACACTAAGTCGCGGCTCCTTCCATTGCCTCAAGTGATATCAGTGATATCACAAACCTGCTAAGCCAGGAAAACATTTCCTGGGCAATCAAAAGCTTCAAACCATACAAGTCTGCGGGGCCAGATGGCATTATCCCTGCCCAACTGATTCACGCTGGACAAAAAGCCACTAATTGGCTCAAATGGGAATCTTCTCCCATGGATATATCCCGGAAACCTGGCTTCATACCAAAGTCGTCTTCATTCCTAAGGCAGGCAAGCCCTCGCATACTGCCCCCAAAGATTTCAGACCCATAAGTCTATCGTCTTTCCTTCTGAAGACGATGGAACTCCTGGGGATGCATCTCACGGTGAGTATTCCGCATAGTCTAGTCTCAGATTCCCAGCATGCCTATCGGAAGGGAAGATCCACCGAAACGGCCCTACACACGGTCACATCGATTATAGAAGCGTCCCTTAACTGTAAGGAGTACACCCTCGTAGCCTTCCTCGACATAGAAGGCGCCTTTAATAACATCCTCCCGACCGCCATCTCGGGTGCACTGACGGACCTGGGGATTGACTCCCAGACGGTGAGCCTGATCGATCAGATGCTACAATGCAGGACGGTTGAGGCATCACTGGGGACGTCAACGTTCATCAGATTTGTCAGCAGAGGCACCCCTCAGGTCGGAGTCCTCTCGCCCCTCCTATGGAACGTGGCAGTGAACGAGCTGCTGCGGGATATAGAGGGGGTGGCCGCCGCGTGGTGGCGTATGCGGACAATGTTGCCACAGCATTCTGCGGTAAATTTCCGCAGACGCCGTGTGAGTGCTTGACAAGCACACTCATGAAGATGTCAAAATGGGCAGACAAATGCGGTCTAGGTGTCAATCCGTTTTAAACGGAACTTGTGCTTTTCACTAGGAAGTACAAAACCCCCAAAACTATGTGGGGAAGCGCTAGTCTTTATCAACAACGCCAGGTATCTTGGCCTAATCTTCGATAGAAAGCTCGACTGGAAATTGAGCATAGAGGATAGAGAATACACTTGCAGGAAAACCTTCGGAATGACCCCTTATATAGTTCGGTGGCTTTACACCGCCATCATACGACCAATCATGCTCTATGGAGTGGTGGCATGGTGGCCAACCTTAGACAAAAGAACACGCCTCAATAAATTCAGCAGAGTTCAATGCATGGCAGAGCTATGCATAACTGACGGGCTACGCACTACCCCAAAAAAAAAAAAATCCTCGATACCATGCTGGACCTCCTTCGCGTAGACCTCATGGGAAAGAAGGTTGCAACACTTTCCGCCCTCAGAATGAGGGAAGCCAAACTATGGAAAGTATCCGCATTTGGTCATTCGGGAATCCTGACAAGACTACCGCAATCCCCAGAGAGGACAGATTATTGTACCCCTAGGGACCATCTCTCGTCGCCTTTCGAGGTATCAATCCAACCTAGGGAGGACTGGGAGATGGGCGAACCGAGACCGCGTTGGTGGCATCACTCGGGACGTCAACGTCCACCAGATTTGTCAGTAGAGGCACCCCGCAGGGCGGAGTCCTCTCGCCCCTCCTATGGAACGTGGCAGTGAACGAACTGCTGCGGGAGATAGAGGGGGGTGGCTGCCGCGTGGTGGCGTACGCGGACGACGTTGCCATAGCATTCTCCGGAAAATTTCCGCAGACGTTGTGTGAGTGCATGACAAGTACTCTCACGAAAATGTCGAAATGGGCAGAAAAATGCGGGTTAGGCGTCAACACGTCTAAAACGGAACTGGTGCTTTTCACTAGGAAGTACAAAGTTCCGGCACTGATTCCCCCAAAACTATGTGGGGAAGCGCTAGTCTTTATCAACAACGCCAGGTATCTTGGCCTAATCTTCGATAGAAAGCTCGACTGGAAATTGAGCATAGAGGATAGAGAATACACTTGCAGGAAAACCTTCGGAATGACCCCTTATATAGTTCGGTGGCTTTACACCGCCATCATACGACCAATCATGCTCTATGGAGTGGTGGCATGGTGGCCAACCTTAGACAAAAGAACACGCCTCAATAAATTCAGCAGAGTTCAACGCATGGCAGAGCTATGCATAACTGACGGGCTACGCACTACCCCAAAAAAAAAAAATCCTCGATACCATGCTGGACCTCCTTCGCGTAGACCTCATGGGAAAGAAGGTTGCAACACTTTCCGCCCTCAGAATGAGGGAAGCCAAACTATGGAAAGTATCCGCATTTGGTCATTCGGGAATCCTGACAAGACTACCGCAATCCCGTATCAATCCCACCTAGGGAGGACTGGGAGATGGGCGAACCGAGACCCGCAAACGCGGTCCACTTGTACACTGATGGCTCAAAGTTAGACGGCCGCGTTGGTGGCGGTGTCTACTGCAACGAGCTAGGAAGGGTTTTATCGTTTTTTTTTGCCATGTCATGACACCATAAGTTTTGGAAACTAAGATACCATAAATAAAACAAGCGCTGCGTGCCTTTTTCTACAGTCACAGTAGAGTTCGATTGAAAGTAAAAAAGCGCAGCACTTGCTTTAAAAGAAAGACGTGGGTTTTGGCTAAAGGCGCGAATTCCTTCGCCAATAATTTATTGAGCGAATAGAAAAACAAGTCACAAGAATAAAACTAGAGACTGGAAACTTCAGAGCAAAGATAGCTGCTTTTGTAGCTAAATTTTACATTTTCTTTGTTATAGCACTAGCAGATGATGTCGAAAAAGGTCAACGAAAATCCGAGCACCAACTGAAGGACCAAATCCGAAGCGAAAGTCCCAAGACCAAGCGAAAATATCTTTTCATTCAAAGCCGACAGTAAAATTATCGGCATATTGAATTGACAAAACATCATGCGCGTTCTGATTACGTTGAACTGTTATCTAATTTTTTTGGGATCGGTTCCGAAAGGTCATTTTTTTCGATCCATGAACGCTGGATGTCTGAGGCGATTTATCCCTTAAAATATATATTTTTCGAGAGCATTTTAAATTGAAAAATCAAAAAGAAAATTATTTGCGCGATGTATCTATTTTTATTGTTGGTTTTTATATAAATTTATATAAATCTGGACTTTCAATTTATATGCAAAATGTATAATAATAAAGAAGTTGATCGGAAAATTACAAATGTCGTTTTAAAAGAGATTTTTTCGGTATCTATCTGATGAATATATCGCACTTGCATTGTTTAACGATAAAGTAACTTTCATGCAGAACGAAAAATGGTGGCGCAACTCTTGACCATTTGTGTTAACGATGATGATCTGAAAACACTTACTTTTAAAGGAATAGATTTTCAAACATTAATTACAAAGAGACTATCTGATTTTGTAACAAATAATTCTTATATATTTTTCGATCGGCTTAATATTTTAAAAGCTTTTTTAACTAAAGATCCTTCAGAATGGCACTAATAAGGACTATCGAAGTATAAAGTGGCCGAACAGCCGAACTTTGAGCTTAAGTCGGCACATCTAAACTTTGTAGAATCTACAAATAAGGGCAACCTAGTCCTTGCCACCCAACTAGGGTCCCGACCATACCCATACGAGACAACTGTCTGAGCCTCCAATTAAGAGAGTAATATTTTCAACTGAGTTCGTTATCACAATCTCCGTATGCTTACAATAAGTATCAAAGCCATAACATATTCATCTTCGGTAGGTCCAATTTCAGCAGCACGAGGCTACGAGGCAAAAACTGAAGACTGCACCATGTACTGCAGAATGCAATTATTTTGTGGTCTCGGGCTACGTATGTTAAACATGGCATTCACAGAGAAATACAAATAATGGGAGAAGACTTCTGGAAAAAAGGTGCTAGGCAGACCAAGAAAACACAGAATAATTTCTATATTTTTAATGCTTTTATTAAATTGAAATTTAATAAATGCATTCCAATCCCCACTCTTTCCTTACACACTTTCCAGGCTTACTACCCATGCATCCAAAACAACGGATGGGACGGCCTTCAAACCGCACTAAATTCGGGACCACAAGTGAGCTCATGGATTCAAACGCCTTAGACTATTCTAGCCCATTGAATTATGTAAAACTAAAGACAAAAGAACATTTCTTCTCATAACGACTTGTTCTTTGAACGATTATTATTTTTGTACGCTAACTAAAAACATACAATACTAAAAAATGAACAGTTAAGACAATGATAACTTACATATACATACACATACATGTACATATCTTCATTAACAAAAAAAAGTTCGCTCTAATTGTTTTTTGATCGAAAATTCTTTTAGCATCTACAGTGGCGAGTGGGATACATGGTTTCACTTGTCAGTTTAAACGCCTATAAAATCTTTAAAAATGTATCAATCCTTCTGATTTTCATAGATTCTTTCATTTAGTGATAAAGAAAAAAATAATAATAATTTCAATTCAAAGATATCTCTTTCCTTAAGAGATTTTAATTTAAAAAAAAAAAAAGTCCATGTATCCACTTTTGCACGATTCAAATTTTTGTACTTTGATAATTTATTATATAAAATAGTGAATCGAATATTAACAAAGTTTTGTGATATGATTAATAACATAAAGTAACAAAAGCGAGAATATTTATTTTTATTATCTTACAGAATAAAAGCTTTAAAAGTTAAAAAAAACGAGGGGGAACGTTGTGAGTTGCTGAGGACACCGCAACTCTACGGTTATACCCGATACTAAGTCAGTATGGCTCTCCTCCGGCAGACGCCGCTAATATTAAACGACACGACAAAGAGTGCGTGCGAGAGAGACAGAAAATCAGTCTGATTTGTTCCTTTTGGCTATAAAAATGATCCGATCTGATCCAGATTCAGCAACCTGATAGATATGGTCATTATCTATGATTCTGCGTTCTTAGTTTTCTCGAATGTGCAATTTGTGGATGCAACAGATTTTCGTCCTTTGTGTGGGCGGAAGGGGGTGGGGCGAAATTTTGAGATATACGTTTTATAGTGAGATCTAACAGGAGTACGGACACTAAATTTGGTTACTCTAGCCTTAATACTCTCTGAGATTTGTGAATATCCCCAGATTTGCATCCTTTGCGGGGGCGGAAGGGGGTGTGGCGAAATTTTGAAACAAACTCGTCTCGGTCTGATATATTAGGAGTGTGGATACCAAATTTGGTTGCTCTAGCTTTTATAGTCTCTGAGATCTAGGCGCTAATGTTTTACTCTAAGCAAAGCCGCCTATGCTACGTGTGTGTTAGAGAGAGACAGGGCGAGAAAAAATGAAATTGTTTTCTTGATGCTGGCTATAATAATAATACGATCCAATTCAGATTTTGCAGTCTGAAAGATATGGTCATTCCCTACGATTCTGCGTTTTTGGTTTTATCGTATCTTTAAAAATGTGGATGCCACAGATTTTCGTCCTTTGTGGGGGCGGAAGTGGGCGGGGCGAAGTTTTGAAATATTTTTGTAGCAGTGACATATCACAGAAGTCTGGATCCAAAACATCGTTGCTCTAGCTCTTATAGTCTTTGAGCATTAGGCGCTGAAGGGGACGGACAGACGGACGGACGGACAGACAGACAGGGCTCAATCGACTCGGCTATTGATGCTGATCAAGAATATATATACTTTATAGGGTCGGAAACGATTCCTTCTGGACGTTACACACATCCACTTTTACCACAAATCGAATATACCCCAATACTCATTTTGAGTATCGGGTATAAAAAACTCCCTGACATCCGACCCACTTTTTATGATAAACTTGAGGAGCCAACATTTTTTTAAATATTTAAATGTTCTTTCAAAACGAAGTTTGCATTGTTCCATATAACTTGAGTATACTACACCTAGTTTTAAAAATCCTGAAATTAAGTGAAGGTTACAAATTTTTTTGAGTTTTATGAGAATTAAAAAAAAAATTTAAAACAAACTTAATTCAGTGTAATATCACAGGAGCCTGCACACTTAATTTAGTTGCTCTAGCATATAAATTCTTTAAGAACTTGGCGACAAAAAAGACGAATAGACGGACGGACAGGCAGACATGGCTATATCGACTCGGCTATTAATACTTATCAAGAATCATATACTTTATGGGGTCGGAAACGCAAAACTAATATGTCTCTATACTCTTTGAGTATCGGGTGTAAAAACTTACGCCTTCTGTGATTCATCCATAAATTTAAGGTTCTTGCTGTTATCACGTGCTGTTATTAAAAGTGAGCAAGATAGTAGAAATGTGTCGTAAAGTTGCTGGTCACGATAGGATGTAGCAATCTTCCGATTCTTGGAGAAGGACAAGTGTACATCTAATTCAACAATAGAATTCATTTCAGATACCAATTGTGATAAGATTTGAACGCCAACTGTGCAGTGTTCCACAGAACCCTAGAAGCCAAAATTAAAATTAGTGTTAGCGTCTTTACTGTTAAGAACTTGCCACATACCTGTAAAAACTTTTTTACGTCTTCTAATAAATTTTGAAAGATCAATTCACCTTTGTAAGTATCGAACCATCCATATTTTGTAATTTTGGCCAGGAGTGTAACCAAAGCTTGAATAACAAAATGTTGCAAGTTAGGCCTTGTGGCCAAGTAATTTAATGCATAGCTACGAATGTCGATTCTTTGCTCAAGGGTGAGTCCCTGTATTAGTTTTGTAAGGGTTGATGCGGCAAGCAGCTGTGCATAACTCGAATCAGCTCGGTCTAGTAGAAGCTGACATTTTGGTAGCGCATCTGAGCTACTTACAAATGTAGCAAGGGCTTTTTCTGCATCCCCACGAATGCAAACGTCTGTAGCTTCGTAAAGTTGTTTGCACAGAACTTCAAGCTGCTGTATCTCCTAAAAAAAATAAATTTTTATAAACAAGTTTTAATCATCATTCCAATAATGAAATCTAATGGTAATACAATCTATTAAGCTATTAATAATGTGGGAAAAGAGATACGGATTCCGATATTTGTTGTGAAGAATCAAATCCACTTTTTTAAGAGATTTTCGTTTCCGAATAACGAATATATGTTATTTTAGCCGGTACTCAAAGATTACAGTTAAATAGGTATAAATGTATGTACCCGCAGCAATAAAAAAAAGTCGCACTCTGAAATATAAACGCATTTGTTTATGCCCTCTCCAGTCGGTGGTTTTCTCAAATACTATTCTTATATCTGTAGCTTTGTAAAGTTGTTTGCACAGTATTTTAAGTTGCTGTAATTCCCAAAAATAAATACATTTGTACATAAATGTACGAGAGTTTAAATCATGATTTTAATAACACTATGCAACAACATATTTAAGTTTCGAACTAAGCCGCGTTTTTCTGATAGATTTGGGACTTTATTTTTCTTTAAGGAATCAGGGTTTTTATACCCGGTACTCGAAAAGTATAGGGATGTAATAGATATTTCGTTGAAATGGAAGTGTAAATTCCAGAAGGAAGCGTTTCCGACCCCATACGGTATATATGTATATTAGTGTCCCTTATATGGGGGAATTTTTTTTTCCGAATTCAATCACGCATACCCTCTTATTTTTTCCTTTTCCATAAAGTATATGTGTTCTAAATATTATTTGAAAATTTTGTCATTAACCAATGCCGAATCACACTCAAAATTTTACATATGTGAAAGGTAAAATTTTAACCAATGAACGCAGTTCTAATATTTTATTGGGAATATTTTCTTTTTAAAGTCTCCTTTTTATAATCCGGGTACATTTTTCTTTGTTCCTCATCCACTGTTAGACGGCCGTAAGAGTCTTTCATCAATTTCACAGCTCTTTCTGCTGTATCATTTACTGCCTTAAGTAATGAAAGACTAGTCTTGCTTTTTAAGTAAGATGGGTTACTGTTCCATGATGAAGGGCACAGACTCAATAAACTGTCATCAATTTTAAGGCGATCAAATGATGTCCTGCTTTTTAAAGATATCAAAGATAAAGAAATCGTCCATGTTTGTCTAAAATGGAAAGAAAACAAAAAATTTCATTTTTGAGTAAATACTTAAACGTTTAATATTACTTACCAAAAAGTGCACCGTTAAGATCTTCCATCGATGGTACATATCGTTTTCCTAAGCTGGTTCTATTTTGTTTACTCAAATTTGTGACCATTCTTTCCTTTACATCAAAAGTAACGTCGTCATCAAAAAGTGAGAGAGCCGATATTTCATCATGTAGATACCATAAATGATGACAAAATTTCTTCAAAGCAGCTTTTGCTATAGCTTCATCGATAGTTTCATATTCTTTCAAGGATTTTAAAAAGCATAAATCCTGATACGGTGCTTTCAAGATACTACGAACAATGACAGGTCGTATATAGCTGCGATTTCTTTTTGAGTGAGCTTGAGCTGAGAGCTTAAGATTTACATTTTTAAGGTGTAAATGGCTCGTGCCATCCAACGAGCTTGATGCATTGCGCCAGGATGTCTTGCTTTCTGTTCCCGTCCAATATCGCCACCTAGGAATATTATGGAGAGTTCAATTAACTCCCGAAAGTCTCCTCTAGCAAAATTTTCTTTCAGTTTCGCTTGAAAAAATGCCAACCCCTCATTATATTTAGAACGGCTAAAGTGCGCTTCCACAGTTTGTAGACCAGATTGTATTTTTGAAAGGTCCAGATTTTTCCAAGTATCCTTAAGCTTTTTAAAAAGCGGAATATCTGGACTTCTTGCTATTTCTGCAACTTTTACTTCAAAAACACTTTTCAGCACAAGCTCGTAGATATGATGGCGACAGGCAAAATATAGCAAATCTCTATCAAATTTTTGCTCTAACAATAAGCACGTGCCGTTAAACCGACCTGTGTTTGAAGCTGTTGTATCAAAACAAAGAATTTGTACGCAATCTTCAAGATTCCATTTGAGAACCGCATTCCAAACAGCTTGTGCTTGCTCTTTACCTGTCGAATTTTGCAGATGTGGCACTGCAATGAGTTGTTCTGTATTGTCAAATGCGATTACAATTGGAAGACGTTCCTCCTTACAGCTTCAACCATCTAGAGCTGGTAAAAGCTTTCCATCCCAGTGCAGACAGACAACTTCTGGGATATTATTGTTGAAATCCTCTTTTATCGCTATAGCACGTTTCTTCCGACTTTCTGTACAAATTCGTTGAATGGTAGACTTGTTAATACTAAGCTCATCAAAATTGTAACCAAGTGCCTCTACAGTAGCTTTAAGAACGTAAACAGAGAACGTACACTATGCTGGCACCTCTCTAAGGCAGCCACGAGCTTCGGAGTGACTAAGTCTTTTTATGTTTTGAGGCTGACCACTTTCTGTTATCATGGAATTATGAGAGCTTTCAGCTATATCTTCCAAGCTTGACAGTAAATCATCCTACAAAGTTAAATAGTAAAGTTCTAAAAATCATTAAGAATAATTTCATATAAATTATATGTGTGAAGAACAAAATTCAAAGAAGGTGCACCCAATGAAGAATCATGTTTTTTTTTTGCCGGGTTTCTTCTTTCAAACGCCTTGTTTGAGAGCGTTCTTCCTTATTGGCCAATTCTTTATCCACTCCACCATTTTGATTATTTCCATTGCTTCGGAATGGGCAATATCAAACAAATTGTCCAAAGTTTGAACAAAATTCTCTACGGGATGTATACTTTTCTGATACTTTTTTAGTATATTTTTGAATGTCTCTCCAAGCTTGATGTAAGCATAGTAGCTTCCTGTTACGCAAAGATTTTGTGGATATTCTTGCTCTTTCCCAAAAGATAATGCATTCGCGAAGCGCCAGATTAGCACTTTCATTTGTTGTCATTTTTACTTCACGCGTATTGTAAAACGGAACCGCAAGCACTTGGCGATTCGACTGAAGTTTTGCGCCAACTATGATGATGATTTATATCACCAACTAAAAAAATTTGCGGTTTGGAGCTGCGTAACTCTTGAGCCTTTGCTAAAAATATTATATTGTGTTTTATTACTTGCTAAACGCTTTGGCGCCAAAAACACAAAAGTAACGGGGTCTGCCATATGTTCATGGAACAGTGAACAGGGATGACACATCGCTTTATAAAAACCCAAGTATTCGTTATGATTTAAATATAACCTTTTTGTTATATATGTATGTTATATATATTTAAAACAAATACTTTTCAATGTATATACATATATGTTTTATATATTATATTTAGTCAAATAAGGAATACAAATTAAATTTGACGCGAGTAACAAAAAGTTTGCCAAAAACCTAAATGTAAAATGTATGCGTGGTTAAAATCACAACTTCTAATACGATTCTGTACGTTTTAATGAAATTTAAAAAAGCAAAAATAATTTTTGTAGTAATTTGGAAACAAAAGTAAAAAAAAAAATTGAGGGTATGCGTGTTCAAATCTTACTTTCCAAAAATAAGGGTCACTCTAATGTATATTCTTGATCAACAGCCGCGGCCGTTCTGTTTCTTTCGAAGACCTAAGACGTTTTTTTGTTCTGTTAATTAAATCTATTATCAGAGAGGGATAACATCAGAGATCTTATTAAAATGATTACTTACCTCGTTTTTTTTTTTTTGTTTGGTCGTTTATTATTAATAACAACTAACGCAGATAACAATATACGATAAAATTATACACTATAACTGTTATAGATGAGTTGGAGGTAAATATAATGACTAGGATTACAATATAATCAGCGGCTCAGGGTCAGCAGAATGTGTGCAGCCCTCGACAGCACTGCTGTGTCATCGGCAAACGTCACCATATTGAGGGTCTGCCCTGAGCGTGGTGGGCTTTGGAATGTCGTGGGTGAAAAGGGAGTAGTGCGTCGGCCCAAGCACTTTGCCTTGTGGTACTCTTCACTTAATGAATTTTATCGAGGATGTGCAGCATCCGTCCTTGACAACGCAAAGTGTCCTTTCCGTCACGAAGCTTTTGATGAGCTCGAACAGCTGGGGGTTGAGCAGCACCTCGATCTTGGCGAGCAGTCTTTCGTGCCACACCCGATCGAAGGCCTGTGAGATGTCGAGGTATGCCGCCACCGTGTACTGCTTGCGTTGGAAGCCATCGAGTATGTGCTCCACCACCATTTGTAGTTGCCCGGAGTGCTGGAGTCTAAACCCAAATTGATAGTTCGGAATGGCTCTTCTAACTAGCGAGGACTTCACAACCTTTCGTAGGATGCAGTGCTCAAACATTTTACCAAAGGTCGGGAGGAGTCTGATTGGTCTGTGGGTATGCTAGCCGTAATGCCGCGTTGAAGATAAACAATAGGTACAGTACCGCCCTGTGTGGTAGCGCCTTAGCCACGATGTTCTTGATCCTATCAATACCTGGGGCCTTCTTGGGTTTTAGCTTTCTTAGGACCATCGATACTTCTTGGAAGTTGATTGGCGCCCCCGGAAGCTTCATCTGATGGGCCTCGTTAAGCCTTTCAGTGACCGTCCGTAAGGTGTGAACCTATCTTCCAGATTCGTCGCAAAGCCTCCACAATGTCTATTGCTGTTCTTGCCCAAAGAGCCGTCAGCCATCCTTACCGGAAAGCAAAGTGTAGCGCTTGCCGCTTGTATCGTCCAGTCAGCTTTGAGTGTATGTCTGCTGTGGCCTTCGCCTAGCCACTATCCTGAAGACTCTGTCTTCATGTACTCACGCCTAAGTCGCTTCTTGAGGAGAAGCATCTTTCGATATCGCCCGAAGTGCCGCCTCTGTGGCTTCCAGTCTGTGACGTTCGAGTGCCTTGTCGGCCCCAGGTGGCAGCAGCTGCAGAAGCGTCACAGACTTCGGCCACGAGTGCTTCTATTGCTACGTCTACATCCTGGGAAGTCCTGACGTCTGTGTGGAGATCCAGCGAGCTACTTAGCAATTCCCTGAAGACCGGGACATTTGAGCC